TAGAGCTAAGTATTTCTGGAGATTTGACAATTTTTTTTCCTATTTGTGCTTGTAAATTTGCAATGTGGTGCTTTTTGATGTGGCTTGCATGCTTCTCTTTCATCTTAATTATTATTGCGTTATAGCCTAACTCATGCATTTCTTGTTAGCTTTAAGTTTCCATCATGCTATTTGGATGTGTGTGTGTAGATTTGTTCCTGAAGTTTAGCATTTTTTTGGGGGGGGGATATTTTTAAAACTTCAAACCATAATTAGATATGTTCATGACTTTGAACTCCAATAAATAATAATGGTTTTGGGGGATGCTTCTAAGACTGGAAGTGTTAATCACCATTCTCTTTAAATTCTGCAAAACAGATTCTCCATTATCTTTTATAGACCACTATAATCTATGCTATACAAAGCATATGTATTCTGATGCCTGAGCTGCCTTTGAAATCGTAAGTAGCTGGTTAAAATGTTTAACTAAAAATATACATTTGCTGATATTTTTGTCCATTAAATTTATAAAGGAAAAGAGAGAAATGCTTCCAGTTTCAAATTTTTGGAAACTTTAATTCCACATTCTGACTTCTTTTTGGCTGTAAGCAGGCATGTCTGCATCCTTTTATTCTTTTTATAATTTGTCTTCTCTTGTCATTTGAGGTACTAATCTTATTCTCTCTCTCTCTCTCTCTCTCTCTCTCTCTCTCTCTCTCTCGACATGGAGTCTCACTCTGTCGCCGAGGCTGGAGTGCAGTGACACAATCTTGGCTCATTGCAACCTCTGCCACCTGGATTCAAGCAATTCTCCTGCCTCAGCCTCCTGAGTAGCTGGAATTACAGGCACCTGCCATCTTGCTCAGCTAATTTTTGCATTTTTAGTAGAGATAGGGTTTCACCGTCTTGGCCAAGTTCTTCTTGAACTTCTGACCTCATGATCCACTCGCCGCGGCCTCCCAAAGTGCCGGGATTACAGGTGTGAGCCACTGTGCCTGGCCATTTTTCTTTTCTTTGTTTTCCTTAGTAGAAGTATGATCTGGGTTGAAGATTAACAGAATTTTTAAAACTTAATTTCAACATTTTTAAAAGAAAAAAATGTAAATGTATAGTATAATAGGCGATCTTTTTTTGGGGGTGGGGGAAGCCAAAGTATATCCTTTATATCACAATGTTTTTCCTCATCTGTTCATGTATTAACAATTACATATCTTCCTCATTAAAAGTAAAAACAACTCGGCTGGGCGGAGTGGCTCACTCCTGTAATCCCAGCACTTTGGGAGGCTGAAGACAGAGGATCACTTGAGACCAGCCTGGCCAACATGGTGAAACTCTGTCTCTACTAAAAATACAAAAATTAGCTGGGTGTCGTGGCGCACACCTGTAATCCCAGTTACTTGAGTGGCTGAGGCCTAATTGCTCCAACCCGGGAGGCAGAGGTTGCAGTGAGCCGAGATTGTGCCACTGCACTCCAGCCTGGGCGACAGAGCAAGACTTGGCCTCAAAAAAAAAAAAAAAAAAAAAAAAAAGTAAAAACAACGTAATAATTTGAATTTCATCGTTTTTCAGTATGTAATTTTAAAACCACAAAATATATAGTAATATTTCTGAGAAATAATCCCTTTCTGAGGCAAGAATTTAGATCATACAGAGGTTACAACTACTAATCACTAGAAATAAACTGATGACAACTATGTGAATTAGTTATTTATTACTTTAATGCATCGTGATACATTAATTCTCTTTCATAATTTCAGAAAATAGAAATAAAATATGGTCATGTGACGTAAGGCAGTTTGGAAATCCACATAAATGCATAAAATTATAAATTTGCCAAGAAAGTTAGACAATGGGAGTAAAAAGGCCTACAAAATTTACAACTTTTTAAGTGCTTTTAAGCCATAGCTGATTATTAAAAATTATATCATCTACTGGAAAAAAATATGTATTTACAAGTTCCCCACTTCCGTAAATCAGTTAAAGGAAAACAGCTCATAAAGGACGGGGTACCTTCGCTTTCATATCTTATAGTAGTAGGTGACATTGATGAATGTATCTATGGACAACTGATCCTGAAATGTAACATCTCATGACCTGCAGGTGTTTCCACACTCCCTTCCCCTTGCTTGGGGGTTGCAATTGCTCTTGCAGTGTTCCTGTGAATTGTACAGCTTTGCTAAAATTGAATCTTGCCCCTTTCACATACCATGCTATGTGCCAGCACGATTTCCTCCACAGCCTTGTGTCGCTGTCTTCGTCTTGCAGTTGTGACTCAGGACATCTGGAAAATATTCCTTTCTTCAATTCACTTCCTCATCTTTCCATTGCCTTAATTTTAAATATCTTTAAAGTGATTCAGTTTTCTGAAAGTTGTCCCATCTAGTCATATGTCAGATGAATTAGAACTGAGTCCTGATTGCCTTAACAGGTTATATAAATATGTTTTAGCAATTTGCACTTTTGTGATCAACTAATTTTTTTGGTTTTAGAAATATTCAGCCTAATGAGTTTGCATGGGAATTCAGGAAATAGTGTAAGATGGGGAAATCACTTGCTTTATAGACATGTAATTGCACCCAAATATGGAATTGGTTTGGAAATTACTGTTGCTTCTATAGCTTGTATCAGGGGACTCCTAAGCCCCTGGCCATCTGTGGAACCAGGCCACAGAACAGGAGGTAGGTGATGGGTGGGTTAGCAAGCATTACCACCTGAGCTCTGCCTGCTGTCAGATCAGTGGGGGCATTAGATTCTCATGGGAGAACCACCCTATTGTGAACTATGCATGCAAGGGATCTAGGTTGTACACTCCTTATGAAAGTTTAATGCCTGATGATCTGAGGTAGAACAGTTTCATCCCAAAACCATCCCCCACATCCTCTGTCATGCATCTGTGGAAAAATTGTCTTCCATGAAATTGGCCCCTGGTGCCAAAAAGGTTGGTTTATTAGTCTGTTTTTACACCCCTGATAAAGACATACTCGAGACTGGGTAATTTATAAAGAAAAAGAGGTTTCACGAACTCACATGTGGGAATTATGGGAGACACAATTCTAGATGAGATTTGGGTGAGGACACAGCCAAACCATATCATTTGTGGACCACTGGCTTGTAATGTCAGTCTGGTCAACATCAAATATTGGATATAATTTCATATTTTAAAGTTCATTAAAGATGTATTAGACTCTAATATATACATTAAGAACAATATCAGTATTTCTTCTTTCAACTATGATATTATGTTAAGAAACTATCTGGAGTTTTGCCTTTTGGAATAATATTTAAACATCATTTATATTTATGGATATGTTCCTTGAACTACATTTTTCACAAGTGCAAATTGAAAACATCTTAAATAACACTGCTTTGCTATTATGTTCAAAATAAACTTACTTGTTTTATTTAATTTTCTAAAGTTAGGCAATGACTAGTTGACAGGGAATTTAAAATTATTTCATATGGAAAGACTTGACTTTCAAAAACATATGTATTAGGTTGGTGCAAAAGTTATTGTGCTTTCTGCCATTACTTTAAATAGCAAAAACCCCAATTACTTTTGCATCAATCTAGTAGTTATCTTTATTCATGTTGAATAGTTGGTACTTTCTAGAAGAGAAGCTCGTTTTTAGAGTTAAAAGTTTTATATAAATTCATCTACTCTCAACTTGAAACTTTATTCTTTTTCATCATTTATTTTGCAAAATAATTATGTGATATAAGCACATGAAGTTGTTTTTGTTGTTGTTGTTGTTGAGAATTTGATGTTTGGCCCTACTCCTATGGACTTTGGCTTCTTGATGTTAACCTTGAAAGCTGTAGTTACAAGTCAAAGCTTGAAATAAAGGCAGCTTGGATAAGTGTGTGGAAGAGGCATTCTGCATGAGAAAGCTCTCTCCAGGATTAGCTGCAAACTGCAAGGAGGAAAACTGGGACTTACAACGTTGGTGCTGGTGCAGGAGGGGTGGGGAAGGGAGTCATCAGGGTTTCAGACATTACAATATGAACTCCAAATGTTTCTTTCCACATATTTATCTGTTCCATGCACATTTGTGTGCTTTTTAGCTGCTAGGCTCTTGGGACATTTTGGTGAATAACGGTCCAGAATGTGCCCTCAGGAGTTTAGAGTCTACTGGAGGAGTCATGCTAAGAACAGATAATAACTGCATACATTAAATAATGAGAAATTAAGATTGCTGCTATGGCAAGAGGATAAAGGAGGAGAATATCTGAGAGACTCACCTGAGGAAAATGTTCTCTGCTGAGGCTACTTTAGTCAGAAGCATAAACGTTAAATCTATAAAGAACTAGAGGCAGTGACAGCTGTCCTTAATGAGAGGGCAAGAATGGGAATTAAAGAGGCAGTAGTGACAGGTGGACCAGTAGACCAGGTGTCTGGAATTCAGGGAGGGAGAGCGACCATTAGACTGAAATGTGCACATTCAAATCATAAAAAAAAATAGAGATTTTTTTTTAGAAACAAAAATATTTATTATTCAGCCCTTTTCAAAATCTGTAAACATCTTTAAGTCTCAATAGTTTATGTGTCATCATAAAACAAGAGACTTTAAAACCCTTAAAAAGTCAAGCTTTTACAGACATTTAAATGAAGAAAACAAGCCCTTTCCCCAAATCTACAACCCACAAGTTAAATGCACTGACCTGTCAATCTACGCAAAGAACAGTTTTCTAATAAAAGACTGCTTTATCATAAGAAGCATAATTCCAGGAAATTTCCTTACTTAATACTGTCATCTGTCACTATCTTTAAAAGTCTTTCTTAAATTAAAAAAAAAAAATGTGATGCCGAAAGCAGCGAGATCTAAAGAGAATATATTTAAATTGGACGATACACACAAGCATGCTCCTCCCAGATCTGCAGGAAGAAAATGAAGCAACGTATGCAATGAATTAAAATGCTTGTCACTTAGTGGATTCCGGACAGAGGGCAGTCTTTAAGACCCAGCGATAGTATTTGTCTGGAGAGGAAATGTTGCTTTTTGACAGATGAGAGAAATCCCCTTAGTGTTGGCTGTGGGAAGAGAGAAGCGAAGTCAGTCACCTGGTGGTGAAGGCCAGTAAAACAGCGAAGCAGGAGGAAAATTTTTCTCTCCCTCTTTCTCTCCCTCTCCGTCTTTTCTCTCCGTAGGATCCACCTCCTATTCTCTCAACTCTTTTAGCATAACCTTCAAAGGAGAACATTCCCTTCTGACTTTATTATCTTCTTTTCCCCACGGAGAGAATACCTCTCAGCTGCAAGACATTTTTTAAGTCTATGCAGGACTTCGGGGATTCTGTTATCTTGCCAGGGAAATTGATCATTGCTAATGTCTGGGACTGGAGCTAGATTAGCTAACAGAGTAAGCCTGGCGGAGGAAGGCTTTTATCATACACTCTTCTCCTCAGTTTGAACACATTTGCTTGAAATTTGCCGCATGATGCTGACCAGGGAAGCAGCTTTTTTTCTCGGGATGCAGCAATTCGCTGGTTTCTAAGCTTATTGCAGAAGGAGAAATAATTTTAGAGTGGATATTTTTTTCCTTTTGGCCCCTACTTCAATCGACTCAGCTGTGTTGCACCGCGGTACAGATCACCTGTCACTGAATCTTTGAGGAAGTAAAACAAAGTGAATTATCGTTATTATTTATTTATCTTCCTTATTTTTAACCCGGTGGAGGCGGCGTGACCACGGAGAATGAGACTGAGAGGAGCTGCCGGGGCTTGGAGGAGGATAAAGCTGAGTTTAAGCTGGAAACTAAAAGACTAGATTGCTTTTGCCTGCGCCTCGCCCGGTTCCTCTCCACTTCGTTTAGTTGCGCTCCATGGACAGATCAACGAACCTGGACATTGAGGAGCTCAAGGTACGTGCGGGTCGGGGCGGGCGTCGCGGCCGCTTCTCCGCGCTCCGGGCTCCCGGCTCCCCCTCTCCTTCCTTCCCGCTGCTCCTCCGGCGCCGCGGAGTAGTCGGGGGCCCCGCGGGACGGCGAGGGGGCCAAGCGGGGACGCGCAGGCGAGGGGCCGAGGACGCGGAGGGCGGCTCTCCGGAGCCCGGCTGCACTCCCGGGCTGGGCGCCCTCCCCGCCTGCTCCTCCCGCCAGCGGCCACCCCGTCCTCCTCCTGGTCCGTGACGGCAGCATTCGGGGCGCAGACCCTGCGCCTCGTGCGGGCTCGTCTCCCCCGGGGAGCGGCGGCACCAGCGCCGCCGGCTGTCTCGTGCTTTCCCAGCAAAGTTGTCCGAGCTGCGCGGCCACTTTGCCTCCTCTCCCCGGCTCCAATCCCGCCCCGCGCGGGGACAGAGCATTTCCGCTCGGAGGTTCGCGTGACAGAGGCGTCTGCAGCGACAGCCCGTTTTTATCCCAGAACTTCGTGAGATCCCTTTCCTCCGGCGCCCGCGGGCACGGTTTCCCCACGCAGTTGCAGTGCAAGGGCTGGAGAGGGGCCCCGGTGCCCGGGCGACGAGCTACCCCAGCCCTCGGCGTGGGAGCGGGTCCGGGGACTCGGGCAGGGGGCGGGGAGGAGGGAGCCGGGCTGGGAGGGGCGGCATCTGCCGAGGCTCCGGCCGCACCTGGTCGTTGACCAGCCTAAAGCCCCCTCCCCCGCCGCTCCGCGGGGTCCCCTCACCGAGCTCTGTCCCTCCGGGGTCCCGGCTCGGCCACGAGGGCCTGCCCAGCGGGAGCACCCAGGGTAACAACACGCTCCTCTGTGTGGGCACCGCTGCCTGCTTCCCTTCCAGGAAAAAAAAAAAAAAAATCTATGTATATAAAACAAAAACTTTAGAAAACCCAACAAACCACAAAATACTTTGAATGTCCCGCTCACTGCAAACGAAAAAAGCGGGAAAGGGGGCGACACTGGGAACATCTGTTCTATTCAAATCCTCCACTCTTCTTTACCCCTAGACGTCTCGTACACTTTACTATTTCAGAGGTTCAGAGCGATTCTAGATTCTTTGATCAGGGAGAACGTCTAGGCATCCCTCCACCCTCTGGAGAAACTTGACGAATAGAGCTTTGCCTTCGTCAAGGAAATGGGTTTGTCCGGCAAGCTAGGCAGCCTGCAAAATCCCCTGCAGAGCGCCAAAGCCTCTGTCTGCAGCCTGTCCTGTTCCCTGGCCAGGGGGCACGCTGCGTGCCCAGTTCTCCGGGCACCCCAGACTGCATAGACGGATAGAGGATAGAAGGATGGAGGAACAGAGAACAGTGGCGCCTGCTAGAATAGCCCTGCCACTGACCTTACAAGCAGTCCAGGGCGGAGGGAGTACAGTCAGAAGACCTAGAATTCCATTTCCATCTAAGACTGAGTTCCTTGGAGGAAGGGAAGTAGGGAGGAGACAGATTTGATGCTTCATTTGAAGTTGGCCAACAACAAGTTTCTGTGTTTTTGCCAAGGTCATAGTCAGTGGACCTTGGCCTGGACTAGAAGTTTCCTCTTATCTCTCTGCTGTACTCAGATAGGACAAATTGCCTTTGTGTTTGCAAAGATTCCCTAGTTCTTTTTTCCCAAGCATCCCAGTGTCTTGGGAGAAGCGGTGGATTTTATTTGTGATGCAAAGAATAATGTTTGAAAATGATTGTAATCTGTATTTCATGCAGAGGTGGGGTATCCAGATTATTTTTTGGTTGACTCTAGGATATGACACAGAAGAGAGCATTTTTTTTTTTTTTTAAGAGAAATGGAAGGGAAAAATGATTTGGGGCGTTTCTTTCCCCTGAAATCCCTTTAGTTTCCTAGCTTTTCCTATTCAGAACCTCAGTGCCACTATATCATTGTTTAAATCAGCTAAAGAGCAAACCCACTGGGGAAACTTCTGCCTAGTATTAGTAGAAGATCTCAGCTTAATCTCACTACTACTGCACGAATAATCCAGAGATTCTCATAACCCGAGCGTGCTGGACTTAGTGTCTTGGCAGCAGAGGGTAGAGAACTGGAAAGGCTTGGGCATGAGGGGATGTGTTGTTGTTGATATGTTGGCAATGACAGACTCAGAATAAATGAAGACATGTTAGATGCAAAGATCTGTTGAAGTTGTTGAGGAATTATGTCAAGGACAAGCTACTTTAAAGAGTCCAAACTGGCAAGTGAGGAGATGTAGTCAAGCCTTATTATAAAATGTTTGAGATCCTTCAGTTTGGGGAATAGATTTTCGTTGTCAGTTTTGACTACACTTCTGGAATATGAAGGCTGTGGAATACTTACCTTCTGAAATATATACACTTTGTAGAGTTGGATGCAGTGCACGTGAAATAACTTGTCTAGATTTCTTCGTAACAGTGGAGTCGGTTGGCTTGGATTTCTAGACATCCCGGTTCAAGTTATTCTCTGGTGGCTTCTTGCTGAAGAGCCTCCCAGGGTGATCAGTGGAGAGAGAAAGAAAAAAGCTGGGATACTTATTTTTGGAATATTTGCATTTTCACTTTTCTTCCTGTGATCTAATAATACATTAGGACACATCCACATGAAACTTTGGTTTTATGATACTTTAAATACACAGAAAGTGTTTTCTAGGGTTTGATAAATAACTAAATGTGCATAATAGTATAAAAATATAGTTTAGCTTAGTTTTAGATGATTAGTGTCATTGTTAGGTAAAGCTGCTTACCTTGGGTTTTAAGAAACAAAGATTCTGATAATTTATCATTCTTTGGGGTAAACTATTTTCTCTTTGTGAAATTTTAACAGTATTTTTTTGGCTGGTCTGGGTGTGCAAACATTGATTTTTTTTTTTAAATATGCTGTACAGTGTAAATAATGTCTTCTGCAAGCTTTTAAACTAAAGATAAGCTCTAATAATTGTTAAGCTATTGCTGCCATTACCATAAAACTAAACATAATATGCATATAAAGGATTTATTTGGTGGAAAACTGAAATATAGTTATGTGTGTAAAACTTGCTAATGAAGGTAAGTATGTTTTATCGTCTATTCTGCCCACAAACTCCTGATGAAACAGATCAGTCTTGAAAAGGGAGAGAGTTCTCATCCAAAGAATGTGTGTGTTCTTTTTCCTTTGATCTCTGTTTCTCTCTCTAATGAATTTATAAACTTTACTCTGGGTTTTGTCCTGGTGTTTACTTTAAAGAAGATACATCAAATAATCCAAAATATGGGTTGCTGTTTTGAAAACGTGGGTGTTAATGAATACTGATATTAGAAAAAGCCCTCTCCATCCTGGAATATCTCTGAGTTGGAGTACTGGGTACCTTTTAGCAGTTGAGATTTAAGTGCTAGCTTTAGCCTTTATTTTAGCTCCATTGTTGCTCTCTTTTAAACAGTTGATCTTACGCACTGGAAAGGAGACTACTAAATTTTACAGCTGACACTTAAAAATTTTGTTTTGTTAAGGTTTACTCATAAGAGACATTGAGGCTGAATAAACGTTTATGATTATGTCTACAACTTTGTTGATTCTTTTACTCAGCTTTTAAAATAAGTGTACTAAATCACCTGTATTTGGCAATTAAGTTATGCTTTCAGATGCTAAGAATGTATTTGTAGATAACTGTTATTTACTTTGGGATCAAAAACATAAAATACATCCAGAGTATAGTATAATTTTTTGCAGTCATGTTAGTTCCTAGCTTATATTTATTTATCTGTAAGGATTGTTCTGTTACTGCGGTGACTGACTGGAAGTTAAATTAGGTTTCTACTACTTGCAGAACATGAACAGTGTGCTTCTGGAATATTTTCTTATTTTGCAGGTTACAAAGATTATAAACTACATACTTAATCTTGAGACACATAAAACAACTTTTCAATAAGGATAATCTTACTTATGTGAGTTAATTAAATACAGTCCAGTCACTGTTGCTTAATTTTCTCTGTTTAATTTAACCCAACATTTCATCTACCAAGAACTTGAATCTTGCCCTAGATAGGTGAGGAAAAACCTTCCCTGAATAATATAATTAGGCCATTAAAGTATTGTATGGGTGAGAAATGATAACCCAGCAAAAAAATATGTAGGTATTTAGACAAGAGATTTATTCAAAAATGCTGAGGTCTTAAAGCAATGTCATAGTACATTCATGTAAAATTTCAATCAAATAAGAGTTGGCACTTAGAAGAATTCTAATTTTTTTCTTGGTTTGTTTCGTCAATAAGACACTCAGCCCAGGAAAATCAAGCTTGCTGCGGTGTAGGAAGCTTTCTGATGAAACTAAGTAGGTGGGATTTTCTTATGTTAGTCATTCTATAGTGAAAAATAGTACTCTCTAACAAATGGCATATTTTTAGCAACCTGCCTTATGTATTCATTTCTTGGCTGAGAAAGACAAAACATATTTGTGAATACTGAATTATTTGACTTGTTTCACATCTAAAGGAACTTCTTTCCCTCTGTGTCTAGTTCCAATTTTCTTTACGTAATAAAAACTAGCCACAAAGACTTAGCAACAGGTCACCTTCATTTGACAAATTAATACCATTTGAAAGTGATAAACTACCATTGTATACATTTATGGGTTACATTGTGATGTTTTAATATATATATATTATGTGGAAAAAATTAAATGAAGCTAATTAACATATTAATCACCTCACTTATGTTTTGTGCTGAGACATTTGAAATTTACCATCTTAGCTGTGTGTGTGTGTGTGTGTGTGTGTGTGTGTAGAGTTGAATTTTTAATATTTGGAAATAGAGTTGTTTAATTGAAGTTGAAATTTAAGGTACAGTAGTAAAATATTCCTTATATCATTAGGAGGGATGAGGGAACATATTTGATATGAGTGGAAAAAGAAGAAAAATATAGTTGAAAGAATTTGGACAAATGACTATTTTAGAACTCTTCAGTAGTCTACTGTCATTACTAAGTATATGTTCCAACATATATACTAGCTATTACAGTTTTGCTGATCTC